TTTTTTTTTTTTTGTTTTTTTTTTGTTAATTACATCAACCAGTCCAGGTATTCAAAAATTAAAAAATTCGAAATTAAAATCTGGTATTAATAAAAAAAACAAAAACTTAAATAAAAAATCCCGTATTAATTAGTAAAACTAAAAAAATTATTCCATTATTGATTTAAAAAATTGAAATTAAAAATCCAGCATTAATTAGAAAACTGAAAAAAAAATCCAATATTAAGTTGAAAAAATGAAATAGAAATTTGGTATTAATTAGAAAAATTGAAAGAAAAAATTCTGTTAATTAGAAAAAAAATTAAATAAAAATCAGGTATCATTAGAAAAACTGAAATATATATCGTGCATTAATTAGACAAATTGAAAGAAAAATCCGTTATTAATTATAAAAATAGAAAAAATATCCGGTATTAATTAGAGAAATTGAAATAAGTATCCTGTATTACTTATAAAAACGGAAACAAAAATCCTGTATTTATTAGAAAAAGTGAAAAAAACCCAAAAAAAACAATCCAGTATTAATAAGAAAAATGTAAACTAAAAATTTGGTATTGATTAGAAAAACTGAAAAACAAGTCCGGTATTAATCATAAAAATTGAAAAAAAATTCTATTTATAAAAACTGAAAGAAAAATCCGGTGTTAATTAGAAAATCTAAAATATAAATCTGATATTAATTAATCAAAGTGAAATTAAAATTCGTTATTAACTATAAAAATTGAAAGAAAAATCCGCTATTAATTATAAAATCTCAAATAAAAATGTGGTATTAATTAGAAAAACTGAAATAAAAATCGTATATTATTTAGAAAAATTGAAATGTCCGGTATAATTAGAAAAACTGAAATAAAAATCTGGCATTAATTAAAAAAATCTAAAATATAAATCTGGTATCAATTTGAAAAATTGAAATAATATCTGGTTTTAACTAGAATAACTCATATAAAAATCTGGTATTATTCAAAAAACTGAAATAAAAATCTGATATTCAAAAATTGAAATAAAAATTGTCTATTAATTAAAAGAATTGAAATAAATATCCTGCATTAATTAGACAAATTGAAAGAAAAAATCCAGTGTTCATTAGAAAAACTGCATCAAAAACAGGTATTAATTAAAAAAATTGAAATAAAAGTCCGGTAATAGAAAAACTGAAATATAAATCTGATTTTAATTAGAGGTTAATATAATATTCCAATTTTCATTATTTGTTCCTAAAACAAATCCGATATTAATTATATTTTTTAATTAAATATCGCTATTAATTAAAAAATAAATTATTAATAAATATTTTCGAAATAATTCCGGTATTAATTGTAAGTTTCTAAATATTTCACTTATTATTTATAGGTTTATAACAAGTCCCTTATTGATTATAGTTTTCTGGAAATGCGCGTTATTGATTAGCGGTTTCTAAAAATTTCCATTATTCATTATAGATTTCTTAGTAATTATGGTTTTATAAAAACTCCGTTATGAATTATAGGTTTCGAAAACATACGTTAATAAATAATAAAAATCAGTTAATATTTATAGTTATCTAAAAATGTCCGTTGTTAAGGCTAGGTTTATAAAAGAAAATGGTATTAATAGTGGATTTCTTTTAGAATCCGATGATTAATAATAAAGAGCTTCTAAAAAATCCAGTGTTAATGTTTTCTGGATTTACTTTAATCTCCTAAGGTCTATAAACAAAATTTGGATATTTCAGCCAAATCGACAACAGAAAAACAATTGTCTGTTTTTCTATGAACTCTTAAATGATTTATCCATAAAATCAAGTAAATTCAGTTTGATTTGAATTTTGATTCTTAGTAAAGAAATTTCTGTGAAGAGAGTGCCATTTTTATTAAAATCGATCCTGACTTGTCATCTCGACTTCAGTCATTTTCACACCGACGTGTCGTGGCTTCTGTCTGTCTTTTCTACAAATATTTTCACGGCAACTGTTCCGATGAGATGTTTTTTCATGGTGCCCCGACTACATCAATTTAAGCGTCCTACTAGACTGGCATCTAAGTCCCTTCGGTTTACTGTCGAAACAGTTAAATGCAACCGTTTGTTTGTAGTTGGGCACCGTCTGTGAGAAAAAGAGCACTATGACGCAATTCACTCCACGAGAAATATAAAAACGGCATGCTGTGCTGCTTGGCATTCGTGCCGGAAGTTCGAATACGAACATTTCAGTGTGTTTGGGCGTTAATCTGAGAACAATGCAGGAGATTCAATAAGAGTTGGATGAGTCGAATTGTGAATACGAAGGTATGAGAAATAAACTCCTGAATTTGTTAGTGAAAGCCTCAGACTCGACACAAAGGCCTACATCAATTGCCTTGAAGAGTTAGTGCCACCCTGGGCCAAGTGGGTGACTGCTGGAAGACACTATGTCTGACAACAGGACTCTGCACCATATCACACATGCAGGAGAACACAGTTACGACTGTCAGACAATTTTTGCGACCACATCCCCCTTTACATCCAGCCACATTTCTCCCCAGATTTCAACACCTTTGATTATTATGTGTGTGGCACAGTTGAGCGAGTGACCAACAAAATTTCTTGTAACACCAAAAATGAAATAATGGCACGAATTATGGCATCATTCACCAACTTAAACAAGGAGACCGTCCAGAAGAGATGCAAGTGGTTAGGAATTTGTCTGGAGGCTGTGGTTGAAGCCAATATCGATTTTATTGAATAAATTTACTCTTTAGTATTTCAAGATATTTTTGTGTAATTTTCGTAAATATATCTGTTAAATTGCGTAATTTAGACGAAAATTTATCCATCGTACCCTCTGTATGGTACTATTATTCGGGAGTATATTTTTAACCAGTAATAATGATTTTCTTTTAGACTTCTGGATGAGATTGAAATTAAAGCCTGAGAATATTTTAAGTTGATCTGTGAACATTTTTGGGGGTAACAAGCAATCTCAGGATGTTAGAAATGGAGTAAAATGTCTTTTGTGACAATGGGCTGTCAGATGTCACTGAAAATCTATTTCCTTGATTCAAATCTGGCCTGGTTTTGTGGAGCAGTGTTTGATGAAAAAGGGGAAGGCATTTTTCCATCAACTGAGCAAAAATATCGAGGATTTTGGAACAAAGAAATGCTAGCTTTGGGATGTTATACAGGGATGAAGCTGAGAATAGGCACCAGAGAAAATCTAAATACCAAAGATTTTAAGTAGTAATACAATAGAGATTTATTTTACCTACAATAGTTCTACTTTTGTACTATAAATTGCCATGAAAATGCATTGTAATTATTATATCTTATAAGTACATGAATTAAGTACCCGAACGTAAAAAATGTAGGTATCAGTAATATGCAAAATATGAACATGAGAGAAAATCCGACTTCAGATTCGTAATCATCATGGAAAATTGACTAAGAGGAAAGTATCTGTCTATATTTCTGAGGTGAGGTATTATGTACACTATTTGCATTATTAGGACTATTGTCCTCATCTTTGTCACCATGTTTATCACAACGTTTCAGCCGTTGTACGCTCCGGCCTTGTTCAGGTGGTTAGAATTTCGAACTGAACCCTTTATTTCGATCACTGGGGTAGACTGTTCTATTTCCACGTGTCATGTCTAATGGATGTCAGTTATCTCGTGTTAATTCCCCTCTGAAAGTTCTCCACTGCCTTAACCTTGACTCTCAGAGATCATATAGGAAAAAAGATGGAAAAAGTAAAACAACGAGTAATCTAAATAAGGGACTTGATTTATTGATTGATTATTTTTACGGTTTATCAGCTCATTGCAGGTATTTAAAGCCATAATATATATATTTTTAGATTATGAGAAATATTTTTTTGATGGGGGAGATGAATGGTTTAGTGATACATGTCTTACTAATTAACTCGTAGCTGGAGGGAGAAAGGGTGGATTTATAACTTCCCCAAAGGTATTTGTACACAGGGGAATATAACGAACGTAAATTGGAACACGGCTCTCCGATTAACAATTATTTATTGTAGCAAACATTGCACCAACTGTACATCAAATCTTACATCATCTGGTATTTCCATGCGGCTACTCATCTATGTACTGACCAGGCTCGACGTTGCTTAACTTCGCTCAACGTACGGGAACCAATGTTTCCGCACTATATAACCATAACCACTTATGGGTGTGTACCAACCTTAAGATAGATTTAGTTAAGAGCAAAATACATCTTTTTCCTTTTATTTTCAAAGTGTGATCATCCTTTGCTACACCAATAAAAAAAACAACAATCATTTCCCCATTTCAGAAAAAAACTGCTTGTTCTACAACATAGCCTAATAAACCAAAGTATATCTGATAATCGACCAATTCCAGATATGATTGCTGGTTCGCCTGTATCGTTCCATCAAAGAATATTCAACTCAAAGTGGACGAAATCTTGATATAGGTTTTGAGTTAAAAATCCGCTATCATCCAATAATCTTATAGACCCTGAGCGTTCACAAACATCATAGAATTGTCTTAACTGTTGAACTTTATTGTCTGTCTTATGCACATTAAAGTTCAATCGTTTAAGCCCACTCGTGGTAAATTTTTAAATTGCTCCAAAAAGTAGTTGTTTTGTACTTTAAACAAGAGAAAATTATACATGGGAAAAATAAATTTGAGACATGGTTCTTTATTAGAAGTGTTATTATGATAAAAAAAGACTAAAAGCATTTTATGATTAAATTTTGCTCTCGTCAAAATATCCTCCTTTAGCCTTGATTACTGCAGCACAATTTTTGGCATTTGTTGCAAACGTTTCTCAAAATATAAATTTGATGATTGATTCCATTCTTTTTTCAATGATTCTGAGAGCTCTTTTTCATTTTTTCACTCTTCTGTCAAGTTTATTCCATACTAATTCTGAGGGTGTCTTCAAACAGTAGTATATATATATATATATATATGTGTGTGTGTGTGTCATATACATTTTATTTTTGTGTTGTTTGTTTCATAAATGTAAATAATGTGAACTGATTCTGCACGTCCAAGCTTACAGTACCTGGTATTCTCAGGCGGTCGCCCATCTAGAAACTGACTTGGTTCAACGTTGCTTAACTTCGGTGATCGTACGGGAACCGATGTTTCAACACGATGCCGTCGTATTATGAACGTGTAGTAAGGGCAAAGACATTACGTAGTAATACAAAGAAATGGATGTCGTGGAGAATGGAGACCGTATCTGAAATAGGATACACGAGATAAGTTTCTAATAATTCATTTGCTGCAATACACACACGCATGCGCGCGCACACACACACACACACACACACACACACACACATATATATATATATATATAAAACATCGTCCATCGTCTTCTTCATGTTTAATTGAATATGGTCTAATGTTAATTATGTTTTATGAATATGTCCTGAAGATGGTCTATTAGACCGAAACGTCCGACGTTGACATTATATTAGCATTAAAACAGCATAATTGCATATTAGTATTTTTGTTTGTTTTTTCCGTATATTTTTTATATATATATATATATATATATATATATATATATATATATATATATATATATATATATATATATATATATAATAAATTCGCTATTCTCTCACCCAGGCGTCAATCAGGTTTCGGGTCCGGCCTGAGGCGATCGGGTGTCTAGCCACAATGATGAGTTTTGAAACAATCTGTGGATGACTTTATATATATGAAGAAATAGGTAGACTTTTATTAGTCTGACAATTTTTTATTACTAAAACGTTATACCATATTGTTATTTGGGCAGATACTCCATTTACTTATTAAACAGTATATTTATTTATTTATTTTCTCTATCGGCATAAATATTTGAAGAATCTTATTAGACAAAAATATGCGCTCTCCGACAGGATTCGAACCTGCGTTCCCCTAGCGTCTTTAGAATATCCGCACTTTCATCATATCTTTAGGTTTTGTTACACTGTCTTCTACTCATGCATGCTTATAGTTAGTACTATTGTCATCAGGTGATCGAAGTTTGAGGTTGGCCGCTCTTACAGTGTAAACATGGCCGTTCCGCTAGCAGTGTGCACCAAGGCGGATCAAAGAGCAGTGATCCGATTTCTCTGGTCGTGTCAGTGGCTGAAATCCATTGGAGGCTTTTGACACAACACGACGACAGTGCACTACTGCACAGAAATGAGTGAGACCAAAAGTTTAAAACTGGCCTGACAAACGTGACGCGAGAAGAAAGAGCAGGGCGCTTGGCAACCTCCACTACCGGCGGGAAGATTCAACAAGTTCGGTGAGTTATCATCGATGACAAGATAGCATGTTCTATGCAGATTCGGATAATTGCTCTTTGTTACTATCCGGTACACACTGCTGGAGGAGCGGCCATGTTTACACTGTAACAGTAGCAAGAAAGTTGGAGTGATCAAGCTCAAACGTCGATCAGCTGGCCACATTAGTACCAAATATAAGCGCGCATCAGTTGAAGGTAGTGTGGCAAGCCTAAAACTATGGTAGATACTGCGGATAACTTTTGACTTACCCTCGTAATATTATAGAAGAAAATTAAATTTCTGTAAAAGGGAAATACATTTCGAGTTTACCCATTTATGCACAATACTGTATCTACCCAAATAAACTCTTCTGCATCTTATATATGTAGGATGATGGGTTGGACTATAGACTAGAGGTACTTTTATTCATGAATATCTAGTTCTGTCCGTTTCTATGGAAACCGAACGTAATAAAATATCCATATAGTATTTGGCTGACAAGATCTGGCCGATCCGGCCTGACAAATGATTTAATTTATTGTATCTAAGTGGAATTGAAGAACCGCCACAGTTATGCGTAATCGTTGCAATAATTCCGCTGAAGTGATGGCTTATCCTACGCATGTGTTATGTGTTCACGTAGAAAAGATAATAAAACACTTTCAACCCGACAACGAAACGTGGAGAATAATTATCTTCCACCCTACAACCCCTCGACCACAGGCGCAACTTCGCAGGACTCTCGCTGCTCTATCGCTCTTCCGAAGGAAACATGCTCCGTCATGCTATATTCTCGAGTTCCACCAGTTCCGACCTTCACAGCTAAGACACGCCACGCCATAAACACAACGGCAAACCATCTACATTCCCTTCGTATTCCATTCGCAAAAAGGAAGTTCCTTTCGGACAGCTTCTTCCTAAGAGCCGCTGCTTTATGAAACAGTGTTCCCCTGAGGATGCTTCCTTCGAACACTACAATTTTAACTTAAGTCTAAGCTTCAACTGTTACATATTTCAAATGGTCTTAAATTTTTGATCAGAGTGTATATCAACATTTTTATCTAATTCCTACCATTCGGTACGGTAGATTGTATAAAAAAAAAACATTGAAATAAAATAAATATAATTAACAAATAAGTTGAAAAAAATATTACCTGTACTGTGTTTAAAGTTTGCAAACCGAAGTAACGGACATAATACAGAAGTGATTTTCGAACTGGTTTATTACGTTTACTGCTCAGAACGATAAATAAAATAGAATAAAGTACTGTCTATATTTCTGATATGAGGTATTGTAATTATTTACACTATTTGCATTGTTCACTGTTGTCCTCATATTCGTCACCATATTCACGGCGTATTGGCCGTTGTACACTCCGACCTTCAGGTGATTGAAATTTCGAACTGAACTATTTACTTCGTCCACCAGTGAAGATTGTTCTAGTTCCATGTGCTATGCCTCTTTTAGTTATTAATTAATATTTTTATTCCAGCTTGATAAAAGCAAATGGTGGTAATTCTTTTAATAATGGTTTTTCTAAAAGAATATATAGTTTAATTGAGAATGATTGATTATTTGAAAAAAGGGACTATCTAAAAATTATTATCTCAAGGGATAACTCATTTTGACGAAATACTGTATATATAAAGACATTTTTATGTTTATATTTTCTTTTTATATATACAAATATTTCAGCAAATGCTCTGATTCTAATAAACAGTATTAAACAACATTTATCGTCGTGAATGACCGAGAAATTTTCAGAGAAAATATTCATCCTCCGACAGGATTCGAACCTGCATCCTATACAGAACCGTCATTTAGATTGACATGCCTTTAACCGATTTGGCCACACAGGAGTGCTCGGGTAGCTAGGTCGAATTTACTGTCTTTATATTTCAATCTTTAATGAATCTCTCACGTACATTCATATCTGCTCAAAGCCCATCCAAATGTAAACAAATGACGTCACACATTATGAAATGAACAAAATGCCTTAAAATAATTGTAGGGCTTTGTTCATTTCATAATATATATATATATATATATATATATATATATATATATATATATATATATATATACACCTACCTAGGTTTCACCTAAACGGATCGTCAGGGAAAGTTTGGACAAACTTTCCCTGACGATCCGTTTAATGAAACCTAAATAGGTTTGTCTAACTCACTAGGTGTATCTAGGTCTGCTCTACAGTTGTATTGAGCTCTTTTTGTTAGTTAGTTGTTACTAGTATCGGGGTTTTTCTTTGGGCTTCAGACCTGCATCTGTGCGATTTTTTGTCGGCAGAAGTTCATGTTTGTAGCTCTTTCTTTTTTAAAACCTTTTTTCCTCGAGATTGATTTGATTAGCAAATCAAAAATTCGAGGGTTTTTCGAAACGAGTCTAGTTATCTATATTTATATGTATATATATATATATATATATATATATAAATCAGTTCTTTAATCCTTTCTATTAGGTACAGCTTGTTACAAAAGTCATGTTGCCTTTTCAGTACAAAAATGCAAGAAAGCATCTGGCTGTTCTGTCGCTATTTCCGTGGAAAGTGTTCAAACGAACATTATTCCTTAGTTCCACCAGTTGTAATCTTCACGTCTAAGAGCGACCGCGCCTTGCACATTGTAGCGAACAACCCTCATTGCCTTCATATTTCATTGGTGAGATGCAAGTTCCACTAGAGCAGCTTCTTCGTGCAAACCGATGCTTTGTGGAACCGACTCTCAGGTGGTTGCTTCCCCAATCATTACAATCTTAATCTGTTCACGTTGAGGGTTAATCGTCATATTGCTCACATATCCTCATAAAATGTGCATGTTACTATGTAATCCTCTGGGCACCTCGAGGCTTGTCTCGCTAGAACATTTACAACTGAGTCGTGAGTTCGATCCTCACTGGGTGCCCCATACTTTCGGCCTTGTGCCACATCTAAGCTATGCTTGAAAAATCGCTACTATGTAATCCTCTACCTCGAGTGGTTCTTGGGCCTTGCACAGGGTGGAGAAAATCCATGGGTTATATGAATAAGAATGTTATCCTTGTCGTGCGGAAATCTGTAAGAATCAAACTTGCAATATTTGGAATAACATTTTTCTATTTTTTTAAAAAAATTTTCCCGGTAATTAAGGTCCGAGAGCCCCTTAAGGAAGGCGTTTAGTGAATTAGGTTGTTGTATGGATATAAAAGAAGAAGGTAAGTACTGTTTATAAGCATATGTTTGACAGATAACCCTATACTTGAAGAGGTTAAATTTGTAGCGATCGTAGAAGCATCCAGTGTTCTAAAATTTGGTGGTTCTTGTGGAGAAAATTTCGAAGTGGAACTTCCTCACTTACCAGTGGAATATGAAGGAAATGAGGATGAGTTGACCCTGTGTAAGTGGTATACCATGTCAAGACTAAAATTGTGGCCTGAAATGTGGAACTAATGAATATAAATCGTTTGAATATTCCCCGAGACAAAAAAAATATCAAGAGAGTCACCAAAAGCTTACCACGTTTCGTTTGTAAGGGGTTGGGAGGTCGAATTTAAATCATCCTATACAAGGCAATAAATTATTTTCCACCCTAGAGAAAATGAAAAAAAATATCTATTAAAAAACGATATTTTATTTTAGGTTATACGCAATAGAATTTATTTATTTTCCGGAGCCAATCACGTGTTATTAATCATGTGATATACACTTTAACCACACTGGCTAATCAGAATGATTACAAATGAAAACAGACATGCCTCAAATCGTCTGTTCCGTGCTGGGATTGCGTGACACCGGAAAAAGCAAGCAACAAGAGGAAATCATTTGGAATTTCCTCTTTCCTTAAGAATCGAGGAAATTGTTAAACGTCAATTTAA